AAAAAAAAAAAAAAAAAAAAAAAAAAAAAAAATTTTTGTCTGGTATTTTCCCCCTCTACACTAATCTGACAGTGTGTATTTGACTGTTCCAAAAAAAGGGCAACGGAAAAGTGAAAAATGAAAAGCGAACAACAAATTAGGGGAAAAGAACGTAGACCTGTTGTGTCTTGCAAACGGGTGGACAGATGAGCAAATGTCTATACAACTTCATACACCCACAAAAAAGACGTATCACCGCACATGTCTCTACATGTATGAGCGTTTTTCGGGCGTATATATATATATTGCCTCACTATAAATGGACCAACTGCTAAACATACCCGTTTGGCAACCCCCTGTTTCGTCCTCTTACGACCTCTTCAACTAGCCTGTCAATGCGCTACGAGTCTCTGCTCCCTCTACAACGTAGTGAATTTGCCGTTCCGCCAGGTTTTGTATCCCCCTTTCAACGTCGACGCACAAATAGACATGGTGTCTGCGTCGTGCTGAAGAGGGGAGCCATAACTTTCTGTGAGTGGACAGATCTACAATTCCACTAAGCACCATCTCCGTAGTAATCATTCGCTTGTCGCACCAGTGAAAACGATTTTTTTGACCTAGTTGGGAATAACTGCTCCCTATTTATATTTGCTACATCCAGCGGTTTCGCACCAACGAGTGTGTGGAGACGGGGTAGAACAAATAGCAGCGCGATTGATTTCGACAAAGGGGAGCATCCCTTTCCCAGTGAGCGAAATTGACGAGGTAATCCGCTAAAAGGCACCGCTAACACCCTAGCCAGGATGCATAAAATCGATCAGCTCACAAAAACGCTCAGCGACCAAGACAAAAGGTACATTGTAGACCTGATTGAGACGGGGCAAACGGAGCTGCTAAACCATGAAGGAATAAACGAGAGAAACATCTTAGACATCATTAAGCAGATCAGACAATTCGAACTCGTGTACCCTCATGGGCTGCGAACATACGTGGAGAGAGCCAAAGCGTTGATGAAAAAATCGGAAAAAAAACTCAACCATTTTACACACTGTGTGATTGAAAGACCAGATAATTTAATAAAAATAAAATTTCCCTGGGATGATATGATGCACAAATTTGGTGCAGGCGAGAAGGTGAAGACAATGTATGTACCCGCTGGGCACTTCTATTCAAAGGAAGACCATTTCAATGTGACGTTGAGCACGTTGAACGGAAGCAGTGAGGAGTACGACGCGAATGGTACTTTTGCCCAGGATGGCAATTTCTGCTCCCCGTCGGAGGGCGAGGCTACTCCTCTATCCCAGAGGACTCTATCCCCAAAGACACTTTCCCACGGGCAGTTATCCACCCCTCCGCTCTCCTCTTCTTCATCGAACGGCGAAGGTTACAACCGTAATATGTATAGAAGCAGTAACCTCTTAACTGATGAGCCAAAATGGACGGAACAGCATAGAACAAACACAGAGAAGGCGGCAACGCAGGGTGGTGGAATCTTCGCACAAATCGACCAGTACCTGCACTACGAACAGATAGGACTGAACCATATAGACCAAGTATGTTTCGTGTTGCTAGCCGGGGGATTGGGAGAACGATTAAATCACAACGACATTAAATTAAAGCTACTAACAAATTTAGTCTCTGAAAAAACGTACATTGAATATTATTGTAATTATTTGAAAGCTTTTCAACAATATATAAAAAAGGGAAAAAATAAAGAGGTAGATATCCCTTTCATTATCATGCTGTCCGATGATACATATGAAGAGACGGTTTCCTTTTTGCAGAGGAACAATTTTTTTACCCTTAAGGAAAACCAATTATATTTTCTAAAACAGAAAAAGGTATTATGCTTTAAGGACAGCGAAGCACACATTGATTTTGTTTTTGAAAATGGCTCTTATGTCCTTTCCACAAAACCACATGGGCATGGGGACATCCATTCTCTGATTCGAACACATATCGACTTAGACCTGCTCATGGGACAAGGATACAGGTACTTGTATTTCTTCCAAGACACTAACGCTTTAGCTATGAAGGTTTTGTTTGTATGCTTGGGGGTCTCCATACAGAAGCAGCTACATATGAACTTCTTAGCCATTTCGAGAAATCCTGGGGAAGAAATCGGAGCCATTTGTAACTTAATCAATTCAAATAAGTGCAAAAGGGTTGTAAATATTGAATATAATTTTTTAGAGTCTATCATTACCGGTTCAGGGGGGAAGGAGTTGATGGATGAAGATGGGTTTTCTTCCTTCCCTGGCAACACCAGTTCTATTCTGTTCGAAATGAAGACATACAACGAGGTGCTGCAACGAACCAATGGGGTCGTTCCTGAATATGTTAATCCCAAATATGCCGATCTTGGGAGGAAGCATTTCCTTCGGGCTACCCGAGTGGAATGCATGATGCAGGACTTCGCCTTTCTTTACTACTCTGGGGGGAGGGAAGGATCAAGTGACGTGTCGCAGGACGAGGGGGTGAATAACATGGGAGGCTATGCTTGCAAACAGGGAAGAGTTGGCGTTACGCAGCTGGACAGGCGTCTCTGCTTCTCCCCGGTGAAAAACGACCCCGCCAAGGCGAAGAGAAAAGTGCAAATCGGCATACACCCAGAATGTATGTTCAGCGCAGAAGCAGATCTCTACCTCAGCAACTGCGCCTTTTTACAGTTAGCCTGCCTGTACAATGGAAAGCTGTTCCTCCTAGACGAATTTGAGGTGAAGACATTTAAAGGGGTTCAGTATTTCCTCCCCCCCAAAGTTTTATTCGAACCGCAATTTGCCTTTACCCTAACCGATCTGATTAAAAAAGTTAAAGGAAATATTTCCATTAGGAAGAACTCCACCCTGTGGGTCAAGTCAGATGCACTCATTCGAAATTTACACCTGGACGGGGCACTCATCATTGGAGGGGATAATTGTGAACACGCCGCTTCCCTCCCTGTTGTGTTGGAAAATAATTTGTGCGTTCGGAACAGGGGCGATGAGCTCGTGGAGCTTGCCGACAGTGGGGAAGAGAACTCCGTGCAGCTTCAAATAAGGGGGTATAAGTTAGTAAAAAGGGAGGTCCTAGTGATTAGCAGCTAGGGGGAGCGGGACAGAAGGGGCGCTACATATATGAATGTGTTTCATTTTTTTACTTCATTTTATTTGTGCTTCCTCCTGCCCGACCTATGTAGCACCGCTTAAGTCACGTTTTATATTTTCCCTTAACGTAGTCACCTTACCACCCTCATTACATAAACGCTGTGTAACACATAAACATGATTAATGCGTATGCATAGGTGTATTATACAAAAACGTCTCACATTTTTTTTCCGCGTTGATTGACTTATGCAAGTGGACACTACCTATTGTGTGTGCGGAAGCTCCACCATGGAGCAACGGCAGGGCAGCTTTCCTTATGTATGGTATGGGGTCCACCAATTTTTTCGTTTGTTCCCTTTACCCAGTTAGTTCTATTATTTTTATTCAATGTTATAGGATGAGTCGGAAGTGGGTAGGGGGTGCGCCGAATGAAAAAAAAAAAAAATTTTTTTTAAAAATGCAAAATGAAATCACCGTTTAGTGATTATGTGCCAGGGGTTAAGACTACATGTGCGCGCCACCACGTTGTTTTTTGTGTACGCGCGTCGAATGGTGTAGTGTGCCCCCTCAGAGGGGGGAGAGAGAGGAAATAAAGGACCTTGCCACAACACATTAAACTTGGACATAATAAATAGTAGTGTCTTCCACTGCGATGGCACATGATATAGGGGTCACCGAAGAGAGTAGACCACAGAGCCAAACTGTTATTTGAAATATTGTGTAGAAGCCATAGGTGTACAGTGCACTGCAACATCGGGGTGGATATTATACCAGCTAGCCAAAATTTAGTTCTCAATCGAGGCCAAAAAAAAAACTCAGCGCCACGTAAAGAGAAGTGTTGCACACCTGTACATTCATATGCTCCCTTCCGGGGGGAGGAAGCTGGAGGGGCATAAAATGGTGACATCAATTTGGTGGATCGTGAAAAAAAAAAAAAGGAAGCCATGTGTAAATGATGCCAAAATGCTTTGTGCAGTGAGAATTCAACTTAATTCTTTTTCTTCTTCTTCCTCTTGTTGTATCCTTCGTCGTCGTCGCTCTTGTACGCGAATCGCTTTTTGTCGTCTACATAACAAAAAAAAAAAAAAAAAAAAAAAAAAAAAAGGGG